CAATGACAACAAAAACCACAGAAACTATGCAAACACATGGAAATTAAACAATACAGTCTTGAATAATCAGTGGGTCACATAAGAAATCAAGGTAGACATTAGACAGTTCCTAGAATAAAATGACAATGCCAATACAACATCCCAAAACTTACAGGACAAAAAAACAGAGGACTTTTGACTTTCTTTCCTTGGGAGAGTCTGTAGTACACTTTCTTTACCTTCTCTTTCTTCCTTAGCTTCTTTTCCAGCTTTTTGGGGGGCATTTTGATAGCAGTATCCATAGTGATTATATGAAGCACTGACTGAAATCACATCCACAAACATGCGCATCTGGGCTCAGACTGACACATATGCTTACATGCTGCTCTGGCATTGTGAGTCTTTGTTTCCAACTGCACAGGCAGCCAGGGCAGTATTTGCGTTATAACTCAAGACTTTGGTCGTAAGTTAAACCTAAAATGCTGGTCAAAACCCAAGCTGTTCATATTTGAAGCTGGTCATAACTCAGTGGTGCACTGTAAAAACAGTCCTAAGTAGACAGTTTATAGATGTAAATACCTAATCAGAAAACTGAAATATATAGCATAGTGATATGCATTTCAAATTCTTATAAAAAGAAGAACAATCCAAATTCAAATTTAGTATAAGGAAGGCAATTAAAAAGATCAGAACAGAAATTAATAAAATTGAGACAAAAAAATACAAAGAATCAATGAAGTGAAGAGTTGGTTCTATGACAGGATAAACAAAGTAGACAATCCCTTAGCCAATCTTACCCAAAAAGGGAATGAAAAGACCCAAATCAAATGAACAAGGTGAAATTACAATGAAAACTGCCAATATCCAGAAGAATATTAGCAGCTACTTCAAAAACCTATACTCCAATAAACAGGAGAATCGAGAAGAATTTGATAGGTTCCTAGATACATATTAAACTGAACCAAGAAAATATAAAAACCCTGAAATACCCAATAACAAGAAAGGAAACTTCGAGAGTAATAAAACAAAAAAACCTACCAACTAAGAAAAGTCCTAATCCTGATGGGTTCAATTCTGCGTTCTGTGAGAACATCAGGGAAAATCTAATGTCAATACTCCTCAAACTCTTTAGTGAAATTGAAAGGGAACAAGTACTCACAAAGTCATTCCTGGAAACTAGCATCATCATGATTCCAAAACCAGACAGGGATCCAAACAAAAAAGAGATCTACAGGCCAGTCTCTTTAATCAACACACAAATCTTCAACAAGATACGGGCAAGCAGAATGCAACAAATCATCAAAACGATCATACATCATGACCAATTAAGCTTCATCTGAGGGATTCAAGGATGGTTAAACATATGCAAATCAAGGAATGTAATACATCACATAAACAGGAGCAAGAACAAAAATCACATGATCATATCAATAGATGCAGAAAAATCCTTTGACAAAATCCAACGTCCATTCTGGATAAAAACCCTGAAGAAAATAGATATGTAAGTACCTTATCTCAATCTAATAAAAGCCATTTATGACAAACCTACTGCCAACACCACATTAAATGGGGAAAAACTGAAAGCTTTCCTTCTAAAATCAGGAATGAGATAAGGATGTCCACTATCACCACTCCTGTTCAATATAATACTCAATACATTAGCCAGAACAATCAGGCAGTTGGAAGAAATAAAAAGGATATATATAATAAAGGAAGAAGTCAAATTATCATTATTTGCAGATGACATAATACTCTACACAGAAGACCCAAAATATTTAACCAAAAGACTCCTAGAATTAATAACTAAATTCAGTAAGGTAGCAGGATACAAAATCAACACGTAAAAATCAGTACCATTCCTGTACACAAATAGTGAGCTCACTGCAAAAGAAATTAGGAAAATAATACCATTCACAATAGTATCAAGAAAATTTAAACACTTAAGATTTAACCTAAATAAGTGAAAGATGTCTACAGTGAAAACTATAGTACTCTGAAAAAAGAGATTGAAGAGGACATCAGAAAATGGAAAGATATTCCCTGTTCCTGGATAGGCAGAGTCAATATTGTCAAAATGGCCCAATTTTTTTTTTTTTTTTTTTTTTGTACTGGGGATTAAACCCAGGACCTTGTGCTTTCCAAGTAGGTGGTTATGCCACTGAGCTATATCCCCAGCCCAAAATGGCCCAATTTATAAAACTGATGTACAAATTTAATGTAACCCCAGGGGCTGGGGATTTAGCTCAGCGGCAAAGCGCCTGCCTGGCAAGCGCAAGGTCGTGGGTTCGGTTCCCGGTACCGGAGAAAAACCAAAAAAAAAAAAAAAATTTAATGTAACCCCAGTCATAAGACCAACAGCATTCCTCACAGAACTAGAAAAGACAATCCTAAAATTCATATAGAACCAGAAGAGATCCAGAAAAGCAATGGAAATCCTGAGTAACAAGAATAAAGCAGGATGCATCACAATCCTGGATTTCAAATTATATTTAAAAACTGCAGTGAAAAAACAGCAAGGTACTAGACCGAAAAACAGACATATAGATCAACAGAATAGAATAGAAGATGTAGAAATAACCCCAGGCACATTCAGCCATCTAATCTTTGACAGAGCTCCTAAAAATATACACCAGAGGAAAGATAGCCTCTTTAGTAAATGGTGTTGGGAAAAGTGGCTATCCACATTCAAAAGATTGAATTCAGATTTATATTTCTCACCATGTACAGATATTCCTTGTTTAGTGACTTATCTGATTAATGACTGTTTGGACTTATGACTGAGATGCTGTTGAAACTTATGACATGTCACCTGGACTTATTGCCCATCTTTTTTTTGTACAGTTCTGTACATCTTGTTTATAGAGCTTCAATATCTTTTTCTGTACCATACACTTTGTTTTTTTTGTTTTTTGTCTTTTTGAGACAGGGTCTCGCTATTAGTTCAGGCTGGCCTTGAGCTCACTTTGTAGCCCAGGCTGGTTTCGAACTCTCAACGATCCTCCTGCCTCAGCCTCCCAAGTGCTGGGATTACAGGTGCATACACCTTGTTTACACAGTGCTGTAATTTTTGCTGATTGTACTGTACAGAACAGTACTATAGTTTTATGTTCTATCATACATTATATTACTGCATGTAAGAGTTATACTAATAAAAGCAAAGTCACAAAGTTGGAGTTTCCTTTGAACGTTTCTTTGTTCTGAATATTGAAATATGTATACTGTATACAATTTCTTATTTAGTGAGCAATTAATTAATGACCTAGTTGGGGGAATGGAGCTCAGTCATTATATGAGAAGTTTTTGTACTCAAATAAAAATGGATCAAAGATCTAAATGTTAAGACAGAAACAATCTGGAAGATAAAATAGGTACAACTCGATATAGACATAGGCAAGGACTTTCTGAACAGAATCCCAACTAAACAAGAAATAACATCAATAATAAACAAATGTAATTCTATTAAACTGACAAGCTTTTGCACAGCAAAGGGAACAACCAACATAATGAAGATACAACCTACAGAATGAGAAAAAAAATTTGCTGGCTACCTCTTGGACAGAGGAATAACATCTAAATACATAAAGAACTAAAAAGAGGGAAAGAGAGAGAAAGAGAGAGAAAAACAGAGAGAGAGAGAGAGAGAGAGAGAGAGAGAGAGAGAGAGAGAGAGAGAGAAACAGACCTTTCAAAATAAAAAAAACCCTAGTCAAAAAAATGGTCAACTTAAATGAATAGATGCTTCTCAGAAGTATAAGTGGTCAATAAATGCATGAAAAAATATCCCACCTCTCTGGCCATTAGAGAAATGCAAATTAAAACAACACTGAGATTCCATCTTACTGTAGAAAGAGTGGCTACCATCAAGAAATCAAATAATAGCAAATGCTGACAAGAGGGAAGAAGAGCCCTTCTACATTGTTAGCAGCGTAAACTAGTACAACCACTATGGAAACCAGTATAGAGAATCCTCAAAAAAAAACCTAAAAATGGAAATTCCATTTAATCCAGCTATTCCCCTTCTAGATATTTTCCCCAAAGAGTTAAAGACATGATAGTACAGTGATACAGGCATACCCATGTTTACAGAAGCACAACTCATAACAGCTAAATTTTGTTAGCAGCTTGTATGTCTATCAACAGGTAAATGGATAAAGAAAATGTGGTACTTATATACAATGGAGCACTACTCTGCCATAAAGGTAAACTTGAGTCATATATAAGAAAATGGATGCACCTTGAGACCATAATGTTAAGTATAAATCAAACACACAAGCTTACATAGCACATGGTTTCTTGCTCGCTTCGGCAGCATATATACATAGCACATGGTTTCTCTTATATGAATATAAATAAAGAGCAAAATAAAAGATAGAAAATCAGAAACAGGGAAGGGGACCAAGAAATTGAGGCAAAGGGGAAGGGAAGAAGGGAAAGGAGAAGAGAAAAGAATTGTGATATGTTAGGTACATTTGCCAACTTCCCATCAAGAATGTGATGATTATGTACTGCCAACATGTACTAATACAGAATAAAAACTGAAAAAAAAAAAAAACAAAAAAACCAAAAAACCCAACCAAACAAAGACAAGTCATAGCAGGCAGGAATTCAGCCACAGCTAAGTGGTGCCAGTGCAGGCTGGAGTCTATGTTCAGAGTATTGTCACTGCCACTAACTGGGAGGCTTTTTTTTCTGTTTTTTTTTTTATTCCTTGGTACTGGGGATTGAACCTACTGCCTTTGCACTGAGCTACAGACACAGCCCAGTTTTTCACTTTTTGTGTTGTGTTGTTTTGAGGCGAGGTCTTGCTAAGTTGCAAACTGGACTGCTTTCACTGTGTGAGTTCCCTATCCTTCTCAAGCCTTATTTTTTATTGATAAAAAGGGTGTAACTGTACTATGCACCTCCAAAGGTTAGTAGGGAAAATAAACAACGTGTTGCAATTTAGTGAGGACAAAGTAAGCAACTCAAAGAAAGCATATTGTTGTTATCATCACCAGCATCCCCTCTCTCCAGTCACCTACTTGCTCCAGGGCTCTGAAGGTGCTCACAGCATTAATCCAAGCTAAGACTGGGCCTTTGTTGTCTGTTGCTCCTCGTCCATACAGCTTTCCTTTAAAAATAGAAGACTTTTTAAAAAGCATGGACACCTGTGCCAATTTGAGTTTGCTTAAAACCTATGTCCTTTATAGGCAATAATCTTAAAAATATTTCTAATGTTTCAGGCACAAATCTTGATCTAAAATTGCAAAGTGTGATTTCTTACATACAAATGGCATGGTCAATAGCTAATCAAATAAAATGAGCTAATTTGAAATAAATACATTCTTCTGGCCTCCACAGTAATCAGCTGTTTTATCCAAGCTCACTGAGGGGACCTGAGGATTTGTTGTAGAACAACATGTACCACAGCCTCTCACTTTGAGATTTTACAACTGACAAAACGAGAAAAAGATAATAGGCACATCTCTACTAACCTTTCTTCTTTTTTCCTACAAAAAACAAATTACATTTGACATTTTTAAAAAGAGGAAGGGTTGACCCCAATGCCTGAGATTTCCCCATGTAAGGCCACGGAGTTTTGTAGTTTCACAAAGGAAAGCAATTCAACCTCAGTGACCAATTTGTAGACTATGAAAGCAACACTTCTATTTGCCTTTTTTTTTTTTTGGTCTTTTGAGGCAGGGTCTCGCTACATAGTTCAGGCTGGCCTTGAGCTCACTTGTAGCTCAGGCTGGTCTCGAACTCACGACAATCCTCCTGCCTCAGCCTCCTGAGTGCTGGGATTACAGGTGTGCGCCACCATGCCTGGCTACATTGCTTTTTTTGTTTGTTTTTCTTCCGGTACCAGGAATCAAACTCACGACCTTGCGCTTTCCAGGCAGGAGCTTTGCTGCTGAGCTAAATCCCTAGCCTCTATTTGCCTTTAATGACCATTAAAGACCTGGAGCTTGGGTAGAGTCCCATCTTAAATTCTTAAACTTTATGATCAAGCCTTGTTTGCAGATGAGCACAGGGCTAAGGAATCAGCATGTCACTGACCATCCACCTCTGTCAGTGTGTAAGGATCCGTGAGCCACCCGTCGTCCTGCTGAGCAGACTGCACATCCAGGTGCCCATAGAAGCACACAGTGGTTTTCTTTGGATCATTCCCCAGCTGAGCCAGTATGACGGGAGGTATGGGAAGACTCTGGCCATCAGGCAGCTGTAGGAAGATAATGAATCATAGCATTAAAACCCCCTCCCTCAAAAAACAAACCTTGCCTTGTTTTTCCAGAAAATTCAGAATATGAAATTAGGAGCTCTGTCTATCTGGGGACCCTGTAAAGCAGTGGTCCCAACTGTTTTGGGACCAGAGGTAGCTTTGTAGAAGACGATTTTTCCACAGATGGAGTGTGGGATGGTTTGGGGATGATTCAAGTGTATTACATTTATTTCTATTATTACTATATTGTAATATATACTGAAATAATTATACAAGTCACCATAACGCAGAATCAGTAGGAGCTCAGACTGCTTTCTATGACTAGATGCTCCCATCAATTCACTTGCCACTGTAATGTCTGTCATAAGATGTGGCTTAATTTTTACTTGCCACTCACCAATAAGGTTTTGACCTGAGTTTGCAAGCTACTGATGTATTATGGTCTCTGTGCAGTCAAACCTCTGCCTGTGTTAATCAGTACTTGCAGTCACTCCACAATGTTAGCATCAATTCCTCAGCTCCACCTTAGATCATCAGGCATTAGATTCTCACAAGCAGCATGCAACCTAGATCCCTTGCATGTAGCAGTTCACATTAGTATTTGTGCTCCTATGAAAATCTAATCCCTCTGCTGACCCAATGTTAGGAGGAGCTCAGGCAAAATTGCAAGTCACATAGAGTGGAATACAGATGAAGATTCTCCACTGGCTCACTGCTGCTCCACACCTGCTACGCAGCTCAGTTCCTAACAGGCCACAGAGTGGTACTGGTCCATCCCAAGGGGTTGGGGACTTCTGCTGTAAAGTCTATGTCTTTGTTCTGAGCATCACATTCTATCTCTAAATAGTATCATGAGGCATTTTTAGTAAAATATAAAACATAAATAAAAGTAATACACTTCCTTTGATACTCAGTGGCAAATAGTATAGTTAGTAAGATGCACTCTCCAATAAGAACTTAGTTCTTAGCTAGTTTAAGGTAGGCAGGCAGAGGCTGGGGAAATAGCTCAGTGGCAGAAGTGCCTGCCTGCCAAGTGCAAGGTCCTGAGTTTGATCCTTGGTACCAAAATAAATAAATAAAGAAATAAATAAATAGGCAGGCAGGATCCTGGACAACTTCTATTATCTGACATTCTAAATGCTAAAGAAGGTTTCACTGGGCACTTAGATTTGGATTAACGTGGCTGATGGAGTGGCAGTTCTGAGCAATGATTCTGATGAAAGAATATACATGGGACTTACAGAAAGATGCATATGAACTTCAGGTAAAGGACCACTGGGGAGAGTGTGACTCATGCATGCAGGAAGTGAACAGAGAACAAGGAGGAAGGGATCTTCCCATAACAAACTGTTCCTCACTCACCTCCATTTCTATGTGACACCTCCTTCAGCCCTTGTATGACCAGAAGTCAATAATACAGTCTCACTTGAGACTAGGTGGAATATGTCAGCCTTAGTGGGTATTGGGACACTGGGGGTTGGGTTTGGGACAAGGATCAAGCCCCTCACTTGCCACCACCAAAGGAAGACATGACTCATGGCCACAGAAGTGGTGGCTTCCTAACTGGAGGGAGACCTGCCAGCACCTGCTGAGAACCCAAGTCCACAGAATCCACTCCAGCTCCCAGACGCTGAAGCTTGTCCGCAGCCATAGCCATCATCCGGAAGAGTTCTTGTCTAAAACGAGGCACAGGCTGAACAGAGTCACTCTCAACGGCCACCCACTCCTTGAGTGTCTGTGAGAAAAAGCAAGAAGGTATTAGTATGGCTGGGGAAGAGGCTCACATCCATATGGGTGGGGAGAACAGAGGACAAGAAGTTCTCAAATAATCTTCATTTGGTGGAGTTCTACAGACTGCTAGTAAATACAGTGACATTCAAGAGGAACTGGCAGGTGAGTTGGGGGTTTAAGGAAGAACCTGGATGCCAGAGGTGTCTGGTTAGTAAAGAAAATGAGACAAGACAGACTGGAGAAGGTGACGGTTCCCTCCCTGTACCTCCAAGCCCAGTAGGCAATGAGGACTGGTCTTAAACTCAGCCTGAGCTCCCAAGCCTGTTCAGCCTGTTACAGTCATATGACTTTGAGTATAGTCCTTAACCTCTCAGCCTCAGTTACAGGACAGTGATGTTCCCTAACTCCAGGGGGCTGATGGCCACACAGTGAGACACTACCAAGAAGAGATACAAATACCTGAGTGAAGAAACTCAGTAATAGTCATAAAATAGCTCCTTGCAAAACCACCACCAAGTGATACCGTTCATCTCACCTTCTATGATTTTCAGATATCACATACACACTTGCTACTCAGGCCATCCAAAATATTAAAGAATAATGCTTCAAATAACTTACCAAGTCTTACAAAGATTTCCATAAAGACTCAAAAAATCTCCATTTCTCAAAAACTACAAAATTATTAAATGTAATATTTTCCAACATTGTTACTAATAAAAGATTATAGCATGAACAAATGGACCTTTCACAATAACGGCATGGTTGCATTGTTAGGGAATGCACTAATATCCAGTAAGTGCTGGATGATGCTGATGGAGTGACAGTTCTGAGCAACAATTACAAATAATCATTCATATTTCAGTGAATGGAAACTGGATTCCTTATACAAGAACTGGGATAGTTATTTTTCAGAAAAATTACACATATTTTGGATGGCTGATCTTAACTCCTCTCCCTAACTTTTTTTTTTTTTTGAGAGGAGGTCTCACTAAGTTTCTTAGGTTGGCCTCAAACCCATGGTCCTCTTGCTTCAGCTTCCCTAGTAGCTGAATTTATGAGTGGGCACCATCACACCCAGCCCTAATTTATTTTAATTAGCTCTCTCTCTCTTGGTTGTAATACTCTTATCTTAGGTGATGTTATTTAAGAAAAATTGCGTTTTATGCTTTCCAACTAGAATTTACAAAGCAATGCTGCCAAGTTCTGCCAAAACTGGGTGGCACGGGTGTGTTTAAGGAGGTTGGGAAGAGGAGATGTTTTAGCTAAAATCCCAAATCAGCAGTTGATCACCACAAGAGATCATTTTTCAACCCCCTGTTCATCACAACCAATTACACAAGCACACTCAAGTTCTGAAAGTTCAAGGGGCTTTTATGTCAGGTTAATATTCCAGTAGGAAGAAGGATTACATAAAGGTCAAGCTTAGGAACAGTGGCCTTGACATTCATCCAACTAGAATTTCCAACTAGAATTTATAAAGGGGCCTTTAGCATGAAGCATGAAAATTTCACATCTGTTTGCATGATAGTATTCCTAAAATTGGTTGACTGATCTCAGTAAACATGTATTAATGCCTATTATGTACTAGACACGGTGTGAGGGGGGACTCAGAATACAAAATCCAGTGAGACCCCAAGGAGCTTCTGGCTGGCAAGCACAACCAACAACACATAAGTGTGGGAGAGCTGTGGTCACAGATCAAGGTGCCCTCAGAGGGGACAAGAGGGCTGAGTGGAAGTGGGATGCAGAAATGGTGGGGTACCACAGGTACCCGGGCCTCCCCACTTGCTTATCACTCTCCCTTTCTGCCCCCCAGGCCTTCCTCTTTCCCTCTCCTTCTGCATTGCCTCCCTCCTCCTCCTCTTCCTCCCCAAATGCCCAAACTATGGAGCAATAGCCATCTAGTGAGTTGGGAAGGAGGCAAAGGATCACAAAGGAGGAGATCAAGTGTCCACTGCACATGTGCTGTAAACACACAATACTGGCACTGACTTCGCAGCTCCTCAGCTCTCTGTCCAGAACTCACCAGGAGCCAGTAGCATTACTAGTAGGGCATCGGATGGACCAGAATATATGTGAGTTCCACAAGGGCTGGTCATCTCTAAGGGGACAGTCCTAGGTCAAATGTGCTGGGGATGGATAAACAGTGCCCTTTCTAGGAGGAGTGGGTAGGGAAGGATTGCTGTCACAGAGCTAATGAAGAGCAACTATTTTAATCCAGTGAGGAGTCACAGGCATTTTAAATGGAATCATGTTGTCAGGCACAAAAATCCACATCTCCCAGCAGATAATGATTTCACCAGACCATAGGTCATAACCCAAGTGCTCATGCACAGCTTCTCCTACCTGTACAAATTCATCCTGGTGGAGGTCAATGTATTGGAAAACCCTGTCCAACGGCCCAGAGGGTGGAGGGAATGAGGAGAACATTCCCTGCTCAAGCAGCAACAGCAGCGCCACGAAAGAAGAAGCCTGTTAATGGTTGATGGGACAGTTAAAGTAAGTGCCATTGCTGGACTTTCGACTTATCAAATACTTCAAGAAAAACTTCTCCAACACAGCTGCTTGAAGTTAGGTAGACTAAAATAACAAGAGATGATAGAACTAGAAATGCATTTCCCCCCAGTCAACTTCACTTCAAAGCTAATGGGTTCTAACAAGACAGAATCCAAGTTAATGAGCTTGTTGTTAAATCATGGAACTCAGGTTATGCCTATGACATGGTCTTGTCCACTCCTTGTGAGGGGAAGCCAGTGCTAGCACCTCAGTGTGACGGCCAGTATTTGAGAGAGAACTGTGAGGTCAAACAACCAGAAACACACTAAAAATGGCTCAGCACGTGATAAAAACCAGCACTGGCAGAAAGAAGAGCAGCTCCCATGCTGAGGTACCTTCTATCAGATTGTTGCTGAAATAATAAAGTTTGTTCAGCTTCAAATACTTTCTGGCCAGGATTCAATTTGTATAAAATCTGAGACACCACAGAAATTCCCCTGTTCACAAAATGAGTAGGTAAAAAGAACAACTTTGAGTAAGATGGTATAGTTACAAAGCAATTCACATATAGGATTGAAAGTCTGGAAATAAATCCTCATATTTACGATCAACTGATTTTCAGTGAGGGCACAAAAGTAAACCAGTGGGGAAAGAATAGCCTTTAAATAAATGGTGGTGGGACAACTAGATATCCACAGCAAAGGGTAAAGTTGGACCTCTTCCCTATACCACAAACAAAAATTAACCCAAAATGTGCCAAGACCTTCATGCAAGTGCTACAACCATAAAATTTAAAATATAGGTGTGAGTCTTCCTAACTTTGGATTAGGCAATCATTTCTTAGACATGACACTAAAAGCGCAGACAATAAAACAAAAAAAAAGATAAATTGGACCTCATCAAAAATAAAAATGCAGGCTGGGGATTTAGCTCAGTGGCACAGTGCCTGCCTGACAAGCACAAGGTCATGAGTTCGATTCCTGGTACTGGAAAAAAAAATACTTGTTCTCAAATGACACTATTGAGAAAATGAAAAGACAACCACAGAGTAGGGAATTATCTTCAGATCACATATCTGAAAAGGACTGATACTCGAACATAATGAACTATTACAATTTAGTAATAAACAAATAACCCAATTTAAAAAGAAAGACTTCATAGATATTTTTCTATGGAAAACATGCAAATGGCAAATAAGCACATGGAGAAAATGCACAACATCATAAACTATCAGGGAAATACAAATTAAGGGACAATGAGACATATGAGACCAGCACTGGCCGAAGGAGGCTGGAATCATAGTCAAGGGGCAAGTGGTGAGGATGTGCAGAAATCAGAAATTTCATTACTAGTAAAAATGTAAAATGATACACCCTCTTTGGAAAACAGCCTGCTTTTCATACGATTAAACATAAACTTGTCATATCACCCAGCAATTCCGCTACCACCTATGTACTCCAAAGAAATAAAAATATGTGTCTACACAAAGACATGTACATGGAGGCTTACAGTAGCATTATTCATCCTGGCCTAAAGGCAGAAGGACCCCAAATGTCCATCAGCAGAGGAATGAATAAACAAGATGTGGTATACCCACACACTGAAATAGCATTTAGCCATCCAACGCGATGAAGTACTTGGCAAAATAAAAAGGAATGAAGTACTGACAAGTGCTACAGCATGGATGAGTTCTGCAGACATTGTGTCAAATGAAGTAAGCCACATAAATAGGGCTACTTATTGTAAGATTCCACTTATACAAAAGTCTGGAATATGTAAACCCATTGGGACAAAGTACATCAGTGATTACCTGGGGGACAAATGGGGAGCGACTTCCAAAGAGTACAGAGTTTATTTCGCATGATGAGGGTATTCCAAGTTTAACTGTAGCAATGGCTGCACTAGTCTGAATACACTAAAAACCATTGACTGGCGTGCCTTACATGCATGAATTGTAAGGTATATGAATTTTATCCAAATACAGACATGAAAATAATCCTAAATATAACCCCTTATTTGACAAAAGAAATCTATTATTGACTATGAAAAATGTATGTAAAGCAGATAGCAGTGGTGGAAATGTATGTAAAGTAGATAGCAGGGTCAAAGTGAGCTAAGGCGGTTCATGAGTGTATTAAGCGCTTCGCCCAGCAGGTGGTGCTGATGAACCAATCTCTTGCTCCTTTTGCATTCAGTTCTAAGAAGGCCCTGGATTCCACTGAGCTGTAAGACACTGAGCCTAGAGCCAGGTTACAAATAGTAAATCAGGGGGTATAGGAGCCCATAGACCTCGCATGGCAGGACAGTGGAACTTAGAGCACCCAGCTTTTCACGTAGACACTGAGACAAACTATTTTTTGAGACTTTGCCATCTACGTTAACATGAAAACTTTGATTTATTTTTTATTTTTCATTACATTTCCGTTTTACAAGTTATCTGCTGTTCCTCCCCAATGAAAGATAAAAAATGAACACTGAGGAAGGAAAAAAGTCACAGGAAAAGAAGGAAAACGGAATTTCCATCCATGTGTACAGGGCCTGAGAATGTGTTGGATTTCCATGGGAGCTGCCTCCTTGGTTGGAGGACAGGCCTCGTCCTTCTAAAGGACTGACCCCTGCCACAATCCTGACAGAGGGCTAGTTGAGAGAGCTGAACAAGCCACTCTTCACTCGCTAACAAGGATTTCTCCTTCCCCTGCCTTTTCCCCGGAGTGGAGCCTGGTACTGCACATTTGCCATCCAGGCCTCAACACCGTTACTGGGCTCGGACCTGCCGTGACCTGCTGTGGACTCTGTGACTCTGGACTCCGCCTCCTCGCTCTCTTCTCTTGCTCCTTTGTTTTACTATTTGCTTCCTTGTGTGTTAGTCATGCCTGCCCTTGAGCCCTGCAAAAATCTATTTAGAAAGGCCATTGCTGGCTTCCACCATTGCAGAAAGAAGAAAGGAGGACTGGGAAGGTGGCGTGGGGCTGTGGAGTTCGGAGCTGGCAGAGAGAGGCCTGGTTTGGTGCCCATGGACTCCTCAATAAATATCCTTGCTGCTTGCTCTTAGACTGGAAACAAAACTTCCAACCGCCCTTGTGCTCACTCATGTCTTGCAGTTGTTTAATTTCTGAGAGCTTGTTTGGAGGTTCTTGCAGGGGAGCGCAGCTGCTTGTATACCCTTGACCGAGGAACAGACCTCCTCTATCGGAGGTGGTCGTCCTCTTCGACTGAGTGCGCAGCTTCAGTTGTTTAATTTTTGAAACTCTAGATTCTTTTCACTTTTCAGAGGATGTGTCCATCATCCCCTCCCTCCCTTCCCTGCAGGAGAAGTTCAGCAGCAGCTCCTCAGAGTCTGCTCAGCCTTTTGATGTTTCTTCGTTCTTTCTATTCAGTCAATGCCCTGGCCTCCGCACTGATGCTACTACATTACTATAATTCCTAGCTCTTGGTAATAAGCAGAGGAGGCTCGGTGTGTGTCCTCAGCTGATACTAGCCTGGGCTGCATTGCCAAGGACACTTCTGGTCTTCTGCACACAGCAGCAGCCGGATGAGGCTGGGAGCGGGGCAGTGGGGGTAAAACCCTTAGGTACTGGTTGTTTTGGTGTTACTTGGAACACAGGGTGGAAAAGGGGAGCCTCCTTACTTTCTGCCTCGCAGTCCTTGCCCAGGGCAGGTTGTCAGAAATACAGGGAGAAACTTCAGTGCGAGGGTCACAGCGGATGCCCAAAATTCTACTTACCAAGTCGGCTTCTTCTTTGTGTGCTTGTTTGACAGACTGTTCTGTCCTGTTTCTGCTTTGACGAATGTGTTATAACATAAAAATGGAGTACAGCCTAGATTATCTCAGCATGACGAGATTTAAGAAAAAAAAGAAACAGGTTTTTCTGGATTCTGTTGCTCTTTTGCAGGTGCCGTAGAGCCAAACGATTCCACTTAATTGAAAGGCATAGCAGGCAAGCAGAAAGAGGCAGTGAGGGCAAGCTCCCTGCAGAAAGCAGCCTGGCCCTGCACCAGGATGAGGAGAGCAGTTGAGGGGCAAATTTCCTCCAGAAAGTCACAGGAACTGTGACTTTCTGCACCCCCCTCTACTGGGGTTTGAGCAGCTAATTTGACCCCAGAGAACCTTTGATTGTGGTCAAATTCAGCAAATTCATTACTAGGACCAAAGGTGAGGCTTGCACACCATGTGGGAATGCCTGGAAGTACTGAGAGAGGACTCAGTTTGCTAGAATCCTAAGCAGGCTGCTAGGAATGTTGGGCAGAGTTCAGAAGACCAGAGGCTGGGCAGGGTGGAAGAGAACTGAGCACCAGGTAAAGGCAACTTGGAGGTTCCAGGTTGTAGAACTTAGGCTGTAGCACTTGCTGACCAGCTTGCTCAGGACAGGTGACAAGCTCTGAACCGGAGACAACAGTACCTACCGTGCACCGTAAGGACTGGCAGGAGACGGTACATGTATAGCATCTGGACTTCATAGCCTAAAGCCTGCCCAGAACATTCCATCCTGGGCAGAAGACAACTAATCCGACAGCCACAAGGCCCTGGTGGGTTTAGTGGCCTCTCCGAGCTCCAAAGTAAAGGTCCTGGTGGGTGGGTCATGAGGAAGGGGAACATTGCATTGCCCATGTGCAGCGCTAATGTGATGCTGACTGCAACAATGTCACCTCAGAAACTCTCTATTCCCTCCACTCTTGCCAACGATCCAGGCCTCCGTACACAGCCTGAGAAACAGTCCAGATTTGCATCATTTTTGTGGAGCCTTCCATCATCTGGAAATGTGACAGTGGATTGTAGCACAGTGACAAATACTACCAGAAAAAAACAGTGAGTGAAATAACCAAAGATTCCTATTTTTTTTCTTTCTTTCTCCCACAGGAAGGAATCTAAATCCAGTTAAGTTAATATCCTGAAATATACTACATGAGTGACAGAAGTGTCATCAGATAAAGCTGGATTGGGATTTCCTCAAAGGCAAGTTCCTCCAGTTTCGAGAGGTGACAGGTGGAAATCCCAAGTGATTGAGGATGGTATGCCTGGCACTGGAGCCTAAACCCGAGGCCAACTTGCCCTCTTGAGATCTTGTGAGAGAACAAGAGAGACCACGTGATCTCAGGGGTAGCAGATGACATCAAGGCATCCTGATCCAGAATAGAGAGGAGTAGGAAGGGCGGGGGCATGGCAGTGGACATGGCAACCAGAAGAAGCTCAGATGCAGAGCAGAGAAAGGGGCCAGGCATGGTGACACATGCCTGTAATCCCAGCACTCAGGGATTTCACCCAGGAGGCTGAAACAGGAGGATTGTTGTGAGTTCGAGACCAGCCTGGGCTACATTCTGAGCTTAAAGCCAGCCTGAACTGCGTAACGAGACCCTATCTCAAAAAGACAAAAAATAAAAAAAAATTAAAAAAAATAAAGAACAGAGAAGGGGGAGTAGAAGAGAATGGAGCCCCCTATTCAGGGGTCAGAAGAGGAGAGACTGGGGCAGTGCAGAGGCACCAAAGTGCAGACCTCACCAAAGAAAATTTCTTTTTCTAGAAACCTGTAATTACCCAGACTTGGTTTTGTTATCTTGTAAACCCCTAAACTCACAGTAAAATTGTTTTGACCACAAAGCCTGGGGCTTTAGCTGTCCTTGATGACTAGGAAGCAAGTCCCAAGGGACTGGGGAAGCATGAATCCAGGGGGTGGCCACTGTTGGAGTGGAGTCCCAGGCTGCTTTTTGGTTGTGAAGAAGTAGAAATTCAATGGCAAGGGCAGATTGAAGAAGAAGGCAGGGAGTTTTCTGTGTCCATGCTTCAGTTCCCTAGGGGTGCTGTAAGAAAGCAACACAAACTGGGCGGCTTAAATAACAGAAATGTATCCTCTCACAGTCTGGTAGTGTCTGGGGCTGAGCATTGCTGGGATGAGCAGCTAACCAGGATCATAAGCTTGGCACCAGTAATGAATTAAAGGGACAGAGTTTAAGAAAAGAAGATGCTGTATTTGTAAAAAGGAAAAAGCAGAAGACAGAAAGCTGTCCAAAGAAGGTGGTAGAGGGGTTCTGGAAAGATGGATTCCCATGGGCCTTTGTCCCTGGCTTCTTTTTATCAAGTGATAAAGACCTTTCCTCCTAGATGGGTACCTGGAACTTGGTACAACCTGATTGGCTCTCTGTGCTGTCTTTGGATAAGTTCCAGGCCACAAGGTCCTAACCTGGGCACCCTTGCCTAGGTGTGCATTCCTTTGGTGGGCTTTGTTTGGCTTCTTTCTGCCCATTTGTCCTTGTCAGGGCCTTATCTCTGGGATTTATAGGTTGGCTGGGAGGAACCTTAGGAAAAGATAATTTAAAGTTATTGATTAAGGAGATGCATGTTATCTGGTTAGTACAGCACTAAAGTGACCCCTAGAATGGAAATATATATATATATATACTGTGATACCTCAGTTTACAAACTTAATCCATCCCATCATTCCCCAGAAGATAGCTGTGTTTGTGCAGGGAAGATGGCTGTAGTCATGTTTGTCACCGATATGCAGTTCAAGAGCTGAAGCAAAATTTTGCCTAACTTTTCTGTTCAGGAACCGAACTGTTCGCATTCACAAACTGAGACATTATTGTGTTTTTATATACTAAATAAGAGTTTTCCTTTAAATTAGGTAGCCCCCTCCCCTTTGTCTCCTCCTTTGCATTTTATTGGAGCTGGGGAGGGGCAGTTACCTTGGTTGGCACTTCTGGCTTCCTCTGTGCTGGCTGTCAGCTTTCCTCTGGTCTTCTGCTTTTTGAGTTGTTGTTGCTGTTGTTTTGAGACATGGTCTCACTATATAGTTCAGACTGGCCTTGAACTTGCTATGTAGCCCAGGCTGGCCTTAAACCCACAACAGTGTTCCTCCTGGCTCAGCCTCCAGAGAGCTGGGATTACAAGTGTAAAACACCCTTCCTGCTAGTCTTTTGATGTAAATCCTTGTGCCATTTGTGCTAATTGCTTTCAAAGGAATTCCTTTTTCTTTCAAAGGAATTCCTTTCACTCCTTCTAGGGAGGATTAGTCAGAAAACCTAATGAGGCACTTACTTTATTCTTTCCCAGCCTACCAATCCCCTCTCCTACAGTCTGCGGGTGAGAAGCCATAAATCCAGGTGTTAGCAGAGCCATTCTTCCTCCATAGGCTCTAGCAGTGGATCCTTCCTGTCTCTTCCCAGCTTCTGATATTCCTGGTAATCGACGGCATTCCTTGGCTTATGGCTGCATCCTTCCCATCACTGCCTCCATTTTCATGTGATCTTCCTCTCTATGCATCTTTTTGTGTCTTCTCAGGACACCATCTTTGCATTTAGGGGCTACCTGAAACCAGTATGACCTCATTTTAACTTATATGTGTAAAGACTATTTCCAAATAAGGTCACATTCTGAAGGCAGACATGAATTTTTTTATTTTTTATTTTTTTGGTTTTTTTCCAGTACCAGGGATTGAACTCATGACCTTGCACTTGCCAGGCAGGCACTGTACCGCTGAGCTAAATCCCCAGCCCCAGACATGAATTTTTACAAGGACATTATTCTTTTAATTTCACATTACTATATAATACTGTACCATTTCTTTAATGATCATGTGCTTGACTCGTGTCCCCCTTATGCCATACCCTTAAGTTCCTAGGCAGTGTCTACCATAGAATAAGCTTCCATCCAATATTTGTTGAATAATTAAATGCACAGTCTTTTTAATTTTTTTTTTTTTTTTTTTTGTCGTTTTGAGACAGGGTCTCCCTATGCAGTCCAGGCTGGACTTTAGCTCACTTTGGAGCCCAGGCTGGCCTTGAACTCACAACGATCCTCCTGCCTCAGCCTCCTGAGTGCTGGTATTACAGGTGTGCACCACCACACCTGGCTAAATGCACAGTCTTGGCGGCTCACTCCTGGCCTCGTCGTTCCCCGGAATGAGGGCTTCCAGCGCACAGGGAGCCACGGGTGGGGAGCGCCAGTCCTCCGTATGGCTAGCTTCCTGCCTGGTGGCTCCCGGAGGGTGGGCCCCCAGCGCATGGGGAGCCACGCGGCTGCGAGCGCTGTTGCGCGCCGGCCCTTAGGCTGGCCGCCACTGCTCAATTGAGATCTATCATGACACAGAGAAACAGTGACACAATTGGCCCACCATGCACAGACTGCAGTTGCCCACCCACGGATGTGTGTGAATCATT